CTATGTCTTGGGCTACTCAAATATTTTACGTTTTTGATACTAAATTAACATCTGAAGTATAATTTTTTATTATTTTTATATTTTTCAATATATTTATTTTGTTTGTACAAAATAAAAAAATAATTTTTAACGATACAATAGTCTTTGTTAGGCTTAACATCGACGAAAATTCAACGCGAAGCGACACGCAACGGATAAAAATTTCGACATCGGATACGTTAAACTATTTTTTCGTACGTAAATCAGTTATCCGAAATATCAGTTATCCGGACAACCCCAGTCCCCAATTGATTCGGAAAATCGACGCTCTACTGTAATGATAGTCAAAATAAATTTTATGCTTTTATGTGCTCTAGCAAAGGGAAAAGTCTGTGATTCACTTTAAGGCAGTGGTCTGAACCCTAACATTCTAAATTAGCAAGATTTACAGAATGAATTCTATATTGGCATATTATATATATATATAATACACAGAAACTTTTAGCTATATAAGTTGTCTGTTTTATGTTATAGAATCAATAGTATAACTGTTTATTTTAACTTACATGGTTTAAAGATGTAGATAGGCCATTTAATTGAATTCAATACTTTAACATTCAGTTTTTGGGCTATGAGTAGATTGCAATTACCAGTTAGCATGCTTTGGTTAAAAGAAAACTGTTGAAATTCATTTTTTTTTTATCATTTTAAATGTACTAATACCAAACAATATTATAAGATGATAACTGATTAAGTTTTTAAAAAAACTTATAATTGAAAATTCATAGTTTTACAACTACAGTGGAACCTCTATATTCGTCATTAATCTGTTCCTAAAGATCTAACGAATATGGAAAATGAAAACTATAGAAACAATTTTTCTCATAATAAATAAATGATATTCAATTAATCCATTCCCATCCTAAAAAAAGATACAAGAATAAAAATTTTGTTGTATGTAAAACTTTATCTTTATTGTACTAAATAAATACAGTACTGTATAGTAGAAGAAGAAGAGTAAGATTATTATTGTTTAGAAGACATATCATCAATTAAAACATTAGGTAATTCCAATTATGATTTCGGTATATTAAATTCTTTTGCTAAGTTGGAAATACTAGAGAGGTTCCGGCTGAAATTTTCATCTCTAAAACATGAATGTCAAATGTTGAGCGCCGCCATCTTGTAAGCCTAGAAGTTTGATAATGGTGTTTGGAATGTTGAGCATTACTCCAATGACATTCCAAAGGCCATTGTCAAACTTCTAGGCTTACAAGATGGCGGCACTCAACATTTGACATTCAGGCTTTAGAGATGAAAACTTAGGCTCGCAACCTTTCTTTTTCCATTTTCAGACTTAGCAATAATTTTTTTTATCTCTTGTTGTTCTAACAGCTTTCCTTTTTTTTGCTATTTTTCTTCAGAGTGCTTTGTTGGAGCCATTGGAACTTGAGTTTTTGAAAATAATTAACGCAAGAAACCAAGAACACACACAACTGCACAAAGCAGACTGATTAACTACAGCTAGCTGACATAGTGTTGCAAACTCAAAATTCAAATTTATAGCTAGACATTTTAATAAAAATATTCAAATCATATTGTTTCCATTAAAATTGTTTGATTTTTGTTTATATCTAGATAGTATTATAAAAATAGCTAAGCCATCTTAATTTAGGAAATTTGCATAGCTAGATTGTTTATAAATCCACTAAATCTAGCAAAAAATTAGCTAAATTGGCAACACTTAGCTAACACAGCTAGCTGATTGGTGTGTGTGTGTGTGTGCGATTATAGCACCACTGCTGTGTTGCGAATGACAACAAATACAGAAAATAGTGACAAATTTGGGGGGGAAGTCATGAAAATGTGACAAATACTGAATATTACAAATATAGAGGTTCTACTGTATATTCATTTTTATTGTATTTTGAATATTTTAATTATTTTTTTCTAACAAATAATTTAAATCATAAAAATGAATGAAAAACTATAATATATGTGCTGTGTGTAGTGCAGATAAAATTAAATTATAGGATTATTTGGTAATTCAGCATTTCCTCGATTGTGATAATGTCAGACTGTTGAAAGTTGAATGTAATGTACATAAAATAAAAACAAAGCCAAACAACCACGGGATTACATTGGACTATTTTTCTGTGAATATATTTAATTAATTAATTAAATAATTTGCAACTAGAAGGTTACGTTAGGTGCCATCTCTTATTAAATTTAATAATTATAATTAAATTAATATTTATTAAATAATTTAGGTGCCCACCAGTGGCCGAGTGGTCTTCGTACCCTAAACACTGGGAGTTCGGTCGTGGGTTCGCGCCGCGATCGGACAGGCTGGCTGCTTGGAGTTTTCCGGGTTTTCTCCTTGCCAATAACGACTAAATAGGAGGCCAGTTCCCCATAAAAGTCCTCCCGGAAGGCATTAGTTTCCCTCGCGTAACATCGCGCCCCAGAGAAGGCAACGGGAAACCACTCTGGGTAGTAACTTTCCCTAGTATACACCTTGGCGGATTACAAACCTACGCCAGGTGTCGCCGACGTCAGGAATCTGATATGGCACCAAGAAGAGAGAAATAATTTAGAATATTCTGGAAGAAAAGAATCGGCCCACTGCCGGACTCGAACCCACAACAACTCCTTACTCTGCGGATGCATTGCCAGTTATGCTACACGAGGATGATTATATCATACATATTTAAGTATGATATAATCATCATTGTTTACTTACAGTGCCAACTGGAATGCCCTTGTCCTATAAACTCCTCATGGCACTCTGATGGCCATTGCTCAACCTAGGATGGTTATATCATATTTAAATGTCTGGAAAAGATGATCAGACTGTAGGCTTGAGTAGCGTAACTGCCAATGCATCTGCATGGTAAGCAGGAGTTACAGGTTCAAATACTGCTCCAGGCCAATTCTTTTCTTCCAGAATATTCTAAATTATTTAATAGATATTAATTTAATTATAATGATTAAATTTAATAAGAGATGGCACCTAATGTTGCCTTCTAGTGGCAAATTATTTAGTAATCAATTAATTAAATATATTTTATTTAATATGTAATATATTTTAAATATATATTATATTATATATTTAAAATATTTTATA